TATATATATATATATAGGTAGATATATACATACATATTTATATATACATATACATATATAGATATAAATACAATATATATATATATGCGGACACATGGAGCTGACAGAAAAATACAAAAAAATAATTGTTTTAGCGCATGAGAATATTCCTCTCATGTTATTTTATATTATTCATGTGTTATTGTGGTGATATTGATGTGTTATTGTGTTATTATAACATCAGGAATATTCTCAGAACACAATAACACATGAATATCACCACAATAACACATGAATAACACGAAATAACACGAGAAATATTATCCTGTGTTACAATGCCGGATCACAAGAAAACACGTGTGTTTCTTTGTAGCAACGTGTCCACATATCGGTGGACTCCGAACGTAGCTCTACGACAAGAGTCCTGATGTAATAGTAGGGGTGGGAGAAATTTGAAGAAAATGAAAGAAATACGGCAAAGGATTCAAATCAATTTTCGATAGTAAAATTCAACAAACAATTGCAAAAAATTACCAACATTATTTTATCGCTTGGCAACTAAAATTTTAGCGGGTATAACCCTGTCAATTTAATTATCCAGAAATTATATTTTCTTCATGTATTGACCCCTTCTTTTCAAGATAGGAGTTTTAGAATAGCCTCTGTCACCTATTAACTTCAGAGCCCTCTTATTTTAATAGAATGTGCTTAAACCCCTTCAACCGTATATGCATAAACCAATACATTAACCAAGTAAAAGTTTAACATGATTTATATAATAACAAGGATAAGTAAGAAAAAAAAAAAAGACATAATACTAATTTGCAATGCATTTTATTGTCTTACATAAAAATTCTCTCTCCTTCACTCCATATTTTAAGAGTCATCATAAGAAAATTGTCTAATCAAATCTTAATCCTAATTAGAGAATGTGTTCCCTTAAAAGATGTGAATCTTTTCATGACATTTATGTGAAGAGTGTCAATCCCTATCAATCCTATTCAAAACATTTATATGATGAAATTCTACAAGCTCTCTCTCTCTTAGAATCTCTTGTGTTTTATTCATGCACGTAGCTCCCCTTCTCTTCCACACATAAAGTTGGTAGGTGATAAAATGCATCTCGGAACACATTCATAGATTCAGTTCTATCAAATCTCCATTAGGGTGTTAGCGAGATTAAATTGGTGTGAATGGATTGAGTTTGAATAGAAATCGGCTTGTGACTCGTTATAGTCGATTTCGAGCTCGATTCGGCTCAAAGTCGAAATGAACAGGCTCAAATCTGAGTTATTTGGATCCATTCTAGCTCAAAATCTGCTTGAGATTGAAACAAGATAGCTCAAATTGAGTAATTTGGATCAATTTTAGCTTAATATCGGCTCGTAGTTTGTTGTATTTGATTTTATTTCCCCTTATATATAATTTTTATAAATAAAAAAATAATTAAAGTCAATCTCAAGCTAGTTCGAGCTTATCCTTGTAAGATTTGAAAAAAAATTAGGTTCAAGATTTTGCCTCATAGCCCAGCTCGTTTATTTGATCCGATCTCTATCCGAACTAGAAATCAAATAAATTTTCCAGCGATTAACGATCGATTAACAATCGTTGAGCTAAATTTATAGCCCTAATCTCCATCGAGTGATGAATCATGAACTTTTAAGCTTTATTTGAGATCTTTTTTGGTTTATACATATACTGTTTCTTTTTTCATTTTTCTTTTTAAGAATATATTTATTTAGATTTCAATATATAATATTTAAATTTTATTTCTAAAAATAAATCAATTTATTAATTTTTAAAAATACTCAAAGTAATTTATAGACCTCCCATGCATTTAAAAAAAGGTACAAGTACAATCACCAAATAAATATATAAATTAGATGAATATGGGCATGTATACTCATAAATAGTTTAGTTAGGCCAGAGAAAACAGTTGGTCCATTAATTATAGTTTGACTCATTTGGCCACCTTGTTCATTTTATTTTTATTTTTTAATTTGAGTTTAAGTTGAATATAAACATCAATTTAATTTAAATTTATGTTTTAATTATAAATTTATTCATAGTTGTTCACCAAAAATAATTATATTTGTTGAGTTTTATTTCTGATGTGATAGTCAATGTATTTAAAGGAAAAAATTAAAATATAATTATATTGATTATATTGCTGGTTAATATTCTCATCGCATATTTAACAGCATATATAGTTATAAAGTTTATTAAATTATAAAATTAATAGAAAAAATATAGAATAAGTCATTGCATAGAGTGTGAGTATTTATTAAATAATTAATGAAATATATTGCATGCAACCGATTACTATTTAAAGATATTTATTTGTATGAAATTGTAATAGTTCTAATTAAATGTTTTAAATTATTTAAAAGATCAACTTTATGATTTATTTTCGGGTGCTTAAAGATATTGTGCAGTATTGAGGGGCCAAAATTAATAATAATAATAATAATAACAATAATAATGTATACATTAAAATTGTCAGCACGAATCTCAAAAAGAATGAATCACCGGGGGTAAAAAGCTTCCCTTCGAGGCAAGCGATTAACTGACAATTCAACGCCAAGGATGAAAAGTCGCGTCTCTAAACCTGGGATAGATCAAATCTCTTAAAATATTTCCTCGCTCGATAATGACAAGATCCTTCAAGAGTGAGGCTCAAATCATCCCGACAGCGAGTTTCGTCCGATATCCCGCACAAATAGCGATGAGATTCGATCTTGATAGACATCGTTATGATTCGCCCAAGACCTTGTGAAAGGAAAATCCAGCAAAGGCGACGAACTGACTCGACAGACAAAGGCGCAAGCCCTGTAAGACTTTAGCGAAACGAAAAATGAGCCATGACTAACCTGATGAAACAAATCGACCCGTCAGCCAAGACAAGAGCGCAGGTGAGAACCCTCTGCTACAGCTACTCATCCGACCAACACGTGACAAGGTCGCTACTCAGCCATGTTAGTATACAAATATGCTATAAAATTAATATAATTAATCAGAACAATAATTACATTAAGAATGATTTCAATAACAGATCCCTTTTTACTATAATTATACAAAATACGTT